AAATTCTCTTCAAAAATATACTATTATAGTTCATTGTCCATTCAACTGACAGCCAAGTGTGTCATTCTTGATCATTTGTCTCAAAGCAACCTTGCTAATTTTGCCCATTGGAGTCAGTGGCATACTTTTCAAAATTCTTACTCCACCTCTCATTTGTTTGATACGATTGACGCGTTCGTTCACATAATCTATGAGTTCCTGTTCCCCAACAGCACAGCCATCCCTGACGGTGACAAACCCCATGGGCACCTCCCCGTCCTCCGAGTCATCGACACCAATGACCGCCGCATTCACAACCGACTCGTGTGTCACCAGAATATTCTCCAATTCCACGGGAGATATGAGAATACCTTTTGTTTCAATCAATTATTGTTTTTATAGTTAATATATAATTATAATTATTGCACTTATTTTGTACATAAATCTATGCATTCATTCAAACATGTGTTATTCGAATGCAAAACACATCGACTTATAATCAAATAAACAGATAAACAGTACGTTTGGCACTAAACTGTTAAAATTGATCACATCTTTACTGCGGCCAACAAAATAGAAATAATCATTTGAGTCATAGTATCCCAGGTCTCCCGTCTTGAAAAAGCCATCACTAGTTAGGTGTTCCGCTTTGAAATCACCGGAATAACCCAGGTATCCAGGGGTCACCTAATATGACACATAACATGATAGCGTAGAGTTATGTAATAATTTATATAATATTTTATTATTCATAATTATAATGATAATTATAACAATTTACACGTACATTATCTCCACGGATACATATCTGTCCGGTTGTATCCCTGGGTAATGACTGGCCCTCACTGTCTATAATCTTGATCTCAATCCCGGGGTTCACTTTCCCAATGGTTTCATAATTGTTAATCGTTTTACTGTCACTCAAATAGACATTGGTCACCCAACCACACTCTGACATACCATAGTCTGTATAAATAAAACAATGTTCAAGTATATGCCTCATTATAAATATACAGTACAAATTCACTTATATGAGTACGTATTTCTGTGAAAATAAACAAGCTATTAATGTCCATTTAAATGAAATAAAAACATTTTAAGATTTTTAGTCATAAAATAAAATACAACAAAACAATAATAGTATTAAACTAACGGTTTCTGAAACGTTGAAAATCATACAATTGGCAAACTTTCCGATAGGTATTCCCTGTGAGGACTGCGCCGCCACAAAATACATCTCTCAAGCTTTTAAGATACTTTTTGTCGTATTTGTCATTATTTTTGATCAGAAAATTCAATTCCGTGGGAACCGTGAAGATATTGGTGACACTTAAGTCGTGAATGCCTTCCATTATGGCTTCGTTGGTGTGAACATCACCCCAAACGGCTAACTGAGCGCCGAAACCGATACTCGAAAGCAGACTGCGTTGTCCACACATATGACAAAAACCGGTCGACAGCATAATATCGTCGCCAGTGAGCGGACATACCTCCGGGTGTTGTGTTATTGCCATAATAGCCAATAGATTACGATTTGTTCGTATAATAGCTTTCGGAGTTCCCGTCGAACCACTGCTCATAACCAGTGTTGCCGTATCGTCGAGACCGGTGCGCACCGGGAGGACCGTGTCATCCAAGCGCACCGATTGTATCGCCGACTCCACGGTTGGACAGTTGAGGTTGAGTTGAGTTTTAGTTAATTCATTGAAAACCAATACTTTCTAAAAAATTAAACATCTTTATTATTTACCAATATTTATTTAGAAAAAAGTTTATTAACATTTAATTTCTACTTAAATAAGTTATTAAAGTATTTCAGTGAAGTCTTTTAATTTTGTCATTTTATTTTTATGTTTACAAACCTTACAGTAAACTTTACATAATAAATTCATATCAAAACTAAAAACTGAATCATTTGTTTAATAGATACTACATTTTAATTTTGAAATTAAATTTAAAAGAATTCTGTGTTTATTATGTTTTGTCTGTACATATGAATGATCCCGGAGTAAACTAGCTGTTCACCCAATACCCAATATCATTTTAATAGTCTACTTCCAAAATTTATAAGTACTGTACAGTACAGTATGTAATTACCACTAGAAACTCTATAGTATTTATATATTATATAGTACAGAATATTCTCTCTCTCTCTCTCTCTCTCTCTCTCCTCTCTCTCTCTCTCTCAACTAACAATTAAAATAGTTTTATAATCTATTTATATAATATAAAAATTACATATAACTTGTAAGACATACCTTTATGCAATCAAATTGTTGTCCAATTTTAGTCAATATCATAAAGTTATCTGAATTGCCTATTAATATATTGGCTTTAATTGTTTGCACCGTTTGTGTTATTTCATCTGCGAATATACATTATACTAGTATTCAAATCAAATATTGTTTTCTATTTTATATCATTATTGCATACATTGTGTCGCATGTCTGGGTAGTGAACAATAGACACCTCCGGCCGCCAGAACTCCAAGAATACCGATGCCGTGAATGTCGTTATTATTGGCGACGAAGCAAACGATATCTCCTTTTGTGAGTTTGCAGTCATTTACGAGAAAATACGCGAAATTGAGACACGAATCCAATACTTCACTTCTACTCCATTTCCTCTGTGATGTCGAATCGATCTATTAATTAACAAAGTATTCCTCATATGTATGATATACACTGCATTGATATATTCAATATATTGATACAGGTACAAATGTATGTACACTATTGTACACTATAGGTACAGTACATACTAAACAATTCTTATTGGAATCCTTTTGAAGGCTCTCAACGAGGAGTTCAATCACGGATTGATGTGAATACGATTGCCGTGTTAATTGTGATCTCACTATATTTCCATCCATTGCAATTTATATCGTTTAATTAACTTTATTTTTAATTGATTAAAATAATTTGGGAAACAAATACAAAACTCTTAATAATAATAAACTGATGAACACTCGTTCTTATACCTGTATATATATACAGTACAGTACAGTATACTGGATACCAGTACATACACAGTATATTATAGGGTACTATTTTACATGTTGATTATTGTACATATTGTAAAGCATATAATATTCTATTAATTTTAATCACAATCAGAACCCAATACCCTTGAGCTTTGTATTTAACACTAGTTTTAACAATAATTTTACACTATATTAACATTACAAACAGTCGGGAATTTCAATTTATCTTGCTGCATTTGTAATCAGGCTACTATGGCACAGAATATAACATTAATTGATTTGTGCTCATACTAATGTGATTTATGATTGATGCAATTATAAATTGTTAATTTCTTTATTAAAAAATATACCAACACTAAATTTAGTTAATATTGATAAATTACCAATAAATTATAAAATTGGCAATTATTTTTGCACTGCATAGACAATTTTTTATTAAATAAACACATAATTACATTATTATAATATACGGTAAGTATATAACCTCTTATTTATATTTTTTATTAAATTATGATATAAATTTAGGTGCAAATTAAAATGTTAAATTGTAACTTGATCATTTTAAAAGAAAATACTGCACTTAAATATTAGTGCCAATCATTTGAGATAGAAAACAAAAATATAAGAAATTAATTGCTTTTATTTATAAATCAAAACCTTTATATTACATTAGAGTATACAATATAACACATAATGATTACAGACAAAATTCACAAAAATACTATTGATATAAAACTGGGGAAATTGTCATCAAATTTAACACAAAAAATAATTTAAAATATAAAATAATAAGTAATAAATAATTGTTTGCTAATAAGTTATTAAATTAAATTAATTTTCAAAAACGATTTGTCATAAAATGTATATCTATTGAGAAGAATATACCAAAAATGTTTGTTTAGAGAAAATGATTTTATTAACTAATTAATTATTTGATAAATAAATTGAGAAACGGTTTGCATTTAATTTACAACTATTTAAAACTATTTATATATAATTATAAGACATATAAAGTGAGAGAAATTCTACTTTTTGGGCAATTTTTTCGACTTTTTCTTCATATACTTATACCGTTTGATATAACCCTCGACTAAAGACTTGATTTTGACGGGATTTATTTCACCCGAACGACTGTGACATATCTGTGAGGGGACAGGCATTCAACATTAGTATCATTCAAATAGTGTTCATTCATGGCATCGTTCATACACTCCACTCCCTAACTCCCTTTCCCTTTCACTCACTCACACACACTCAACAAATATGATAACAATGTTGATATGATATGATATGATTGCGACATACTTTGGGTACAGATTTGCGTAAAATCTCTTTGTATTCGTCTTTAGTAACGGACCTCTTCTGGTAATGGGGTTTAAGGACGAGCTTCACCTCTTCGATCACCCTTTCCTGTCGGTTCAGCTTTTTGATGAACTGTTGGCAAACACATCAAAGTGTTAATAATACTACACTAATGTACTAATACATCACTATATCATTATCGCAGTACAGGTGTCAATGCAATCCCAACCCAAACCATTGCATACCTTCTCTTTGACGGCCATTTCGACAGCACTGGAGGGCACGTCGTCTAAAACAGTCAACTGATCCAATTTGGAGCCTCCGGTAGCCGCCGATGGCTTCTTGCCATCCGTCGACACACTTATCACTTGATGTCTGTGGTGTTGGTGTCGGTCCTTCTGTGCGCCTCCAGAAGTGGACGTCTGTCCTCCGGGCCTCTGCTTTTTGGGATCACTGGGAGTGCCGGCGCTCTGAGCGATGGCGTTGAGACGTTTCTGGAGTGATGACTGACCCGATTGCGAGTGAGACGTCGACTTAATTATCTGATCCCACAATGTCTTCACTAATGGCGTAGTGGTGGAGGAGGCGGTGCCGCCGCCCGTTGTGGACGACACGCGAGGTTGTTGTGATGGCGCCGACTGTTGCGGCGGTGAAGGGCTCTCCACATCCATATCGACCACTTCGTTGTGATCTCTATTATGACTGATATTATTAGCGCCGCTTTGGTTGTGATTTTGGGACGAATTATAGGCACTGGCTGTCGATGAAGACGAGTGGGTGTGTCGGGAGGGCTGGCGGTGGGCGACGGGTGCGCCTAATTTTGCCGAATTCTTGGCCGAGTTGAGCGTTTGAGCCATTTTTAAGAGTTGCGCCAAATTCTGAGAATTTATTTTGGTTGCGATGGCGGCCAAAGCTGCGGCCGACACCACTGGGCGTGCGGTGGGCGGCAGTGGGGGAGGCATTAGTGTCGATGACGACGAGGAACTGCTCTTTTGTTGTTGTGATGACGTCTGCGACACTGACTTCTGAGGCGATGCTTTCATTTGCTGTCAAATCAAACAAAATTCAATTACAATTACTATTAGATTTGTTTTTGTTATATAAATATTCATAATTAACAAAAGGATTAACAGATTATGTGCTCAAAAGGCCAGTAAATATTATTTAGGAAATAAGAGTTCGTTATTATCACCAAAAGTGTGCACATTTTGAATGCAATCCATACCTGTCTTTGTGGCAAAAGTGACGGCGACTTAAAGGGCGACGAATGCATCGATGAATGACTGGCCGATAAAGAGTTGGTTAAAGGTGTCGATAGCTTCGGAGCCTCTTTAGACGCAAACTTTGTTGGAGACTTCGAGTCATTTACAGGAACAGACTGCTGGCGTCTGAGGTCCCGGTGCGATGGCGCCGGCGGTGAACGCTTTGAGAGCAGTTTATCGACGCGAAGGGGTGGCTGAAGTTCGGGCGATGGACTCTTAGGGTCCGGTGGTCTCGACTTCTTGCGCGCCACAGGACTACTGTGTTGGGGAGGGCTCTGTAGTGGTGCCTCCGGATCGTAGACATCGTCTTTGGTGCCGTTCGAGAGGCCAGGGGTCGAGCGACTACTGTTAGGACTCGAGCGGGACGTCGATCCTGATATGAGTGGCGATAGTGACTCGTCCTGAGTTGGCGTCGGCATGAACTGGTCCTCACAGTATTCGCCTTCGGGAGTGTGCGGGCCGTATGAACGCTCCGAATGGTCGGTTCCGGCAGTCGTATGGGCCGGTCGTACGTCCGACTGGTGTAGACTTCGAGGCAAAAATCGTGGCAAATCGTCGCCTGTGTATCGGCTCTCTTTGCCCTCAGATTTACGGTTCGAGTGCTTTAAGTCTCCCACACAAGGCTCCAACACCCGGGTAATGGTTGTGGTCAGTGATTGGCCACTACTGCCTATCATTTGGGATGCAGAGGGCGGTGGTGAGGCCCAGTAGATCGAGTCATCCTTTTTACTGGACAAACGTTTGCATGTGTTGGCCGTTTCGGTGGCGCCGGCATTCGCTTGCGAAGACAACTCATCCACAAATTTACCGGTCTTTATGTTTGCATAGTTAGCGCCGGTATCTCCACCGCAATCTGTGTCCTGTATTTGGTGCCGACTTTTATTACTACTATTGGCGTCTCGTTTGAAGTTGACGTTAATTACGATCCGATCACCTGTTGATTAACAAATATTTTTTATAATAACCGTATATTGTATTACCCGTTGTTCTCAATTGAATTAAAATAAATTTTAGATTTTCCAAACAAATTGTCGCTTATTTCGAGACGAATAACTTACAAATATATACCGGTATTAGAGTAATACTTTGAGCACAATTTACCGGTAATACAAAACAGTAATTCATTTCATAAACAGCATTACATCTATTGGGAAGGGAAGGGACATAAGGCGCATACCCTCGGCGTAGATCTCTTTGGAGTCGAGTGGAGTGATGTCCGCATAAGAGGAGTGGTCGCGAAGTATTTTATTGGGGCCCACAGTAGAGGCGCCACTCCCGGAACCAATCATATGCATTATGACATCGCTGTCAGCGCCGGTGTTAGACGCTGACGAAGACTTACTCTTCGCCGAGTGGTGCGAGTGTTTGGACGACCGGTGCAAATGGTGAGCCCCGGCACCGGTTGACAAACCATCCTTACGATCAGAACTATGTTTATGTCGACTCGATTTATGGTGTTTGTGAGCCTTGTGTCTGTCATCATCCCTGTGCGCGTTTATGGCACCACTCGCTTCTTCAGTACCACTTCTGGAGCTTTTGGAGCGTTTGCGAGGAGCGGCCCCTTCGCCGGCACTCTTATCGTCGGCTTTACGCTTATTTCGGACCTTAATGTCAGCCCTTTTATCACTGGTTTCAGCCAAAGTCCGGTGTTTGCGACAGTGATGGGGCGCCGATTCGCCGGTAGGCGCCGACACGTCCCGGTTCTGGTCTTTAAGCCGGTGTTCGTGAGCGCGATGTCTGACCGCCGCCGCAGACTCCTTACCAGCTTTGGCTCCACTCTTGGCGATGGACTTCTTGACCAACTTTTTGCTCACTTCCCGTTCGCGGAACATCAGCTCCACATCCTTAGGCTTGCCGTCCCTATAGCTCCGCATTTTCGTAGTGTTCGACAACTTCTTCCAACCGATACCACCGGCGCTGTTCTCCTCCCCGTCCGGCACCGCCTCATCGCTCTTGGGTTCGTATGTCTTCTCTTTAAAGTCGACTGAAAAATGCATTCAATTTTTATTTTCATTAAAATGTTAATTAAATTTTAAATTAATTTTTGCATCATAATTAATTACCGTAAGTCTTTAATTAAAGCCTTGATTAATATTAATTATAGCAAGTGTTAATAATATAGATATCAAAATAATTAACTACATAATCGACTTTATTATGGATCATTCAGTGCACACGAAAGTGTCGGGGAGTCGAAGCATGAGTAAACAATGTTCAATCTGGGGTAGGATCAATATATCGGCAAAATTATACGTACGATACATACTTATTAAATGACTCCCTATTAAATAATTGACAGTATATGTAAATGCACTATTTGCGTTTACAATTTTGAGTTTAAAGGTCATTGAATTGAGTACAGTATTATTGTTAACTGAACATCTGCTATGAAATGACTACCGGTAATAAAATACAAGCAAATAACAAACATATGAACATAGAGTTTGCATACCATTCCCGTGAGGACTACTCAACACAACATCACTACTAACAGGAGAGGCAATAGTCTTATTACCGCACTCTCTGTCTCGGCTATCCTTAAGTTTGGCTTTGGATTCGCTGCTCCGGGACCTATGTCTGGGGCCCTCCCTATCGCGACTACTGGCCTCTTTTGGTTTATCCCTTCGTATGCGTCCGTGTCTGCAACGCCTAACCCTATGGCCGTCCTCTTCCTTGATTTCTCCCTCCTCTTCGTCGCCAACTTCTGTGGCACCGGTGGTCACAGCACTTGCGGACAACCCCTCGCTTATCACGTGTTCCGCACTATCATTATTTGAATCCTTATGATCTTGAGGTTCAACAGTCAAACACCTATCACTGCTTTGATCGCCGCCAATATCAATGTTCAATAACAATGGCTTATCATCATTGGACACACCATTACCATCGGACTCACAGACAGGAGTTAATGGAGAAGCACACGATTCACTCAAGTCTTCAATTGGTTTCCATTTATTAGTGTCATTATTATCACCTGTGGTTAACCCACTAATGGCAACACTACTATCAATAGATTTCCATTTGTTTGTCGTCGCTGAAGCCGCGCGTTCAGCACCGGTAGTGTCCGTAGGGGTCACAGCAATCCATTTATTAAGATCAACGGGGGGTGTGGTGTCTATGAGGTTAGGTGACGATGGTTTGGTGTCGTGTGTGCCGCCAGTGGTGTCCAATGTGTGACTTTTGGCGATACTATTCTTGAGGAAAATGGGTATTTTGATGGGATAGTGGACATTGATGGAGCCCTGCTCTGTCAGTATGCGCCGGATGTCTGCATCCGTATCGCTGTCCGACTCATCCGAATCGCCGAACAAGTCTTTGATTGAAGGCCGTCGTCGTTGCTTTGCACTCTTGGCACCCGTTTTCACATTTGTTTTTTGGGACACTTTTTGGGCCAATTTGCTGACATTCACACTCTTATCACTACCACTGGTGCTAACACCCGGTGTCTGTTGCCGTGGTTGTGATGACAGCACATCTATTTGAGAATCAGATGTTTTGTCTATTGATGTCTCATAAGAAATGTTGCCACATATTAGTGACGTCTCATCACTAGTTGTGTCCATTTGTTGATTACTGACCACACTTTGAGCTCCTATTGCTGTCATCAAAATTATTGACAATTAAAACTAATGACAATTTAAGAATTAATTTTAAAAACAAACCATCAGTTGATTGATTAAAAGTATCCATCACTGGATGATCACCACTCGGTTGGTCATCGATCACAAGCTCTTTAGTATCTTCACCGGTGGCGCCGACATCGCTGTCGGGCTCGTCATCGCGAATGGTATTATCGCCGACCGATTCGATATCACTATAGACTTCTTGTTTCGAGTCCTCCCCTTCTGTTTCGATGCCCGTAGGGGTGGTCTTCAAGACAGGGGGCGGCGGCTTAATGGCGCCGATATCCTCGTATAAATCACTCACATTATCGCCACCACCGACGCTTCCAAACGAATAATTATAACTACTATTAGCCACAGTAGCGCCGGTATCTGTCCGCTGCGGTGACCCGTGTGTCGAGTGTATCGGTGATGACGATGTTGTGGTCGGCGCAGAGCCTCCCGTCTGTGGCGGACTCCTTGATGGTGACGACTGACCGCTACTGTTAGCGCAGTTGCGCACCGGAAGTGGCGATGAGTTTTGCCGATTAAGACGATGGAGGGAACCGTCTCTACCGATGTGTACATCTCTGGACGACGAGTGCAGTAATGTTTGCGAAGACATGATCGTCGACAGTAAGTCCACTGACTGGCCGTTCGGCACAATGTTATCGTCCAAAAGGGGTTTGTGTTGCTTTAGAGGAGTCGATATGAATCGGTTGGCGGGCAGTCGAGTGCGAGCCATAACACCGACGGCTCCGTTCGCTAATAAGTCGTTGTCATAGGCGTCGTCGTCGTTGATTAAGACCCGCGGGTCATACGTGTCGAGTTCGGCGCCAAACATCGACAGATGCGATATGCCGGCCGCCGCTCTCAAGTCAGTTATCTTACGTATGGACTCGTAGGCCATGTTCTTCATCGACGGCAAACCAAATGGTGATTTAGGCGCCGGTCCTATACCTGTGCACACAGACAGACAGACAAAATAATTACCGGTAATATAACTTATTTACTATTAGCAACAAAGGGATACATAAGTGGCACCAAAATACCTAATTTAGAGGCAATACGAGTTCTCGCGTCTGGCGGCGCCGGTAAGCGTCTCGAAGCGAAGGCCGACTTTTTAGTCCTGCGTTTCTTACGTCGCTTTTTGGAGCGCCGTTTCCTACGGCCAGTCGCTGTAGTCTTTGAGGCCTTCGTCGTCTTGCGTTTAGTTGTTTTACGCTTCCGTTTGGTCGACCGGCGCTTCCGCCGCCGAGGGGTCGCCGGTTTGGGCCTTCGCTGTACGATCGGCGCCGTAGAGCTCGGCTGTCGGCGCTGCAGTATTCGCTGTCTGACTGCTTCTGAGGCTCCGGTGCGGGCGATGGCACGCCTCTGACGTCGGCGTTCGGCCAATGGATCACTTGTATCGCCAAACAGACGCTGATAACAGTCCGGACAAAACCACTCCTCGATAGGTATGGTGTTTATGGGAGGGGTCAGGCATTCGCAGTGATAGCCAAAGTCGCAGCCATCGCATAGCAAGAGTCGGTCCTCGCGGTCACAGCGCCCACAGATCTCACAGTATGTCACGTCATCAGGTACGGCGTCCGCGTCCGGCACCACATTCCGCACGATCGGTATCTTCACAACAAAACAGACAATTTGAGTCAATCATTCATTTATAGACAACGTTCAACTCAAATGTCATTTTCGTATCTTTCAGATTGAAAACTAATGGAAAGCCAAACACGACTTTCCATATCATTGTTTCATTCACTAAACGCCTTTCAATTCAATGTTAAATATCAAACAAAATAGTGAATCAAACTCTGAATTTGCGCGAAACTACTCATCATTTATACAAATAAGACATTTGGGGCACAAAACACATGAAACGATTGGATACCTTCATGACGACAGCACCGGTCACTTCCCGGCGAACGTAAATTATAGTAAACCGCTTCCTATCGACGGGACAGGTATTGATTTGCTGTCAAAATAGCACACAAAATACCGGATTAGGAAAAATGATTCAAAACAACACCTAATTTGGTGGAACAGTAGCCATACTTTACTCCACTCCTCAATGCATTCGAGGCAAAAGTAGTGCAGATCCTGACACGAGTCCGGACTCCCGATGTCTTGACCGGCGAACGCATTCAAACATATATAACACGTCGGCGCCGACCCATCGCTGCCCACATCACTGTCTACACCATTTGGCTCATCACTGGCGGCCGACGCCGACACAGTGGTGCCCAACACGTCCTCCTCATCGTCAGTCTCATCGGAATCGGTGTCATCCGACTCCTCGTCCTCCTCTCCCTCCTCGTCATCCGACGGGTCGTCCCCTTCGGCTCCGGACTCCTTGTCCTCTTCCTCGTCGTCGTCCTCCTCTGTATCCGAGCCGTCGTCTGGCTCTTCGTCGTCATCCAAGTGTTGAGTGCGACTGCCGTTCAGTTGATCCACGCGTTGGTCATCACGTGATTCGTCGCACATATCGACCGCTAAATGAGTGCTAATTAAGTGGTCACTCAATACACGGATCACTCGTTCAGTCTTAAGACAAACCAAATGACAGATTCATTAATAGTTATCAACACATATGAGGGTTGAATACACACTTGAGGTGTCGCACCCCCAATGGGTCCCCAATCTATCAAACAATAAGCGATTGCTTGTTAACCACCAAATCAATGGCTAATTGTGTTTAGAAATGATTGCAATTATTGTCATATATTTGACGTCAAAACCATTGAGATGTTGGCAGTGAATGAGTGAATGAGTGTATGGTTTGATTGAGTGATTGGTTCAGTGTTTGCTAATGTGATGACAACCATAACAATGAACACATAATTCATATAATATTCACAACTCTTATATCAAATCAAATGAAATGATATATAAATTGATTGCAATTTATTGATGAAT